TCGAGCGGGGCGGCGACCTGCGTCACATGGTCGCGAAGCCCTTGCCGCTCGACTTGGCGGCGTCAGTGGACTGACCCTTGCCATTGGCAGCAGCCGCCGCCTTCGCCGCAGCAGCAGCCGTCGCGGCAGCGAACTTGGCCTGCGAGATCTTCTCCGCCTCCGCCTGCACCGCTGCTGCGCGAGCCTCAGCTGCCGCCGCGTCCTCCGCCGTCGGCGAGGCCTCGGCCGCCGTGGCAGAGGAGCCGCCATCGCCCGAACCTGCGGGCGGCGCCGCCTCGGCTGTAGGCGGCGGTGCCTCTGCCGAAGCGCCGCCAGCAGCGGCCTGGTCGTCGGGCTTCGCCTGCTCGGCTGCGGCGCCGTCGACCCTACGCTTCTTGCCCATGCGCTCCTGCACCTGCTTGCGCACCTCCTCGGCTCTATCGAGCCAGCCTTGGATCTCCTTCTCACGAGCCCCCAAATGCTCCTTGGCGGCTTTCAACTCCTTTTCCAGCTGCTCCATGATGGCACGCTCACCCTCTTCAAACTCGCCAGCCGCATCCTGGAATATCGACTCGTCCCACGAGAGGTGGAAGATGTGGCCGTCGTCGTCGGGCTTCTTCTCAGACTGCGAGTTGCCCTCCACGACGCCTTCGGACTGAGCCAGCCTCTTCGCCGCTGCCTGCTTGGCCGCCGTGGCGGTGGCCAGGGTGACGGCGGCTGTCTTCTCCTTGCCCTCCGCCAGCTCGAGCTGCTTGCGGATCCGCACGACGGGGTTGACAGCTTGATTATGCTTCATACCTGCATCGCGCCAGGCCGCATCGGCCTTGCGCACCTCCTCTGCTGCTGAAGCTTGTGCATCTGCATCGGCCTGCCTCTGGCTCTCTAGCTTGTTCAGCTCCGACTGGAGAGACGACCTGATGGCAGGATCGGTGGTCGCCTTGATCGCCTCGGCCAAGTGGGTCTCGGCGCTCAAGGGGCCTTTTACCTGGGGCTTCAGGGCAGACTTCAACTTCCCTTGGGGGTCAGTCACTAGCTAGTTATCCTTGTCATTCGCAAAGGTAACGTGCTTCGGCGACTTCGAACGAGGGGTGTAGAGCCTGACCGACTTCGAGCACCTGGTACACTTCTTATCAGAACGTTCCAAGATGTCGTTCCACTCATTCTTGCCGCAAGATCGGCATCGAGTGTACAGCCTTGCCGTGAGGTTCGACATCGCTGCTCGCACTGCTTAGCCTCCGCACGCGCTGGCCGCAACTGGGCTGCGGGCACGGGCCACTCAAGCACCACGCTGGGGTGCAGTGCTGGACTCAGGGCTGCCAAAATGGAGTTCTGAGCCCAATTTCTTGAGGGCCAGCGGTAGTAGAAGCAGGGGGAGGGAGGGAGGGAGGATGATAAAGGAAGGTGGCGGATGAGGACTGAAGGGAGGGAGGAAGGGAGGGAACGAGCGAAGGAGGGATGTGGGAAGAAGTAGGAGGAGGAGGAGGTGGCGGAGAAGGCGAAGCAGCTGGACAAGGAAGGGAGCGGATCACAAGGGGGTGGATGAGGATGCGTTGCGGGGGGAGGGAAAAGAAAGGGACGAGACGAGGGAACGAGGACAGAGGCAGCGAGGGAGCAGGCGGCGAAGGATGGAGGGCGGAGTGAGGCGGAAGAGAAGGACGAGGACAAGAACGAGGAGGAAGAGGAGGAGCAGGATGAAGATGGTTGTAGTTTATAGGATTGTTGATTGCCTTTGGTTAGACATAACCAGGGGGCAGGAGGAGGAGAGAGATAAGGATGATGAGGACAAGGAGGAGAAGGACGAGGAGGAGGAGGAGGAGGAGGAGGAGGACGAGGAGATAGAGGAGGAGGAGGAGGAGGAGGGAGGAGGAGGAGGAGGAGGAGGAGGGGGAGAATGAGAAGGCGGAGGAGGATGAAGTGGAGGAAGGAGTAGAACGCTACAGGCTTGCACCTGGTGCCCGCTCAACTCAAACAGGGAGGAAGGAGTAGGGCGAGATAGGGGTGTGCGGAGGGTGACGTTGTGCAGAAGAAGGGGGAGGGGGGTTGGGGGGAGGAACGGGGAGGAGGTGGTGCCTCTCCCTCCTCCGAGGATGAGGAAGGAGAGCTCCTCCTCCTCCTCCTCCTCCCCCTCCTCGTTCTCCTCCTCCCTCCTCCTCCTCCTCCTCCTCCTCTCCTCCTCCTCCTCCCTCCTCCTCCTCCTCCTCCTCCTCCTCCTCCTCCTCCTCCCTCCTCCGAAGGGGATAATTTAGGTGTGCTCGCGCCACATCTGACATCCTACCACCCCCGCTCCCGCCCGCCCGTCACTTCCGATGGTACTGGATCCTCCTGTGTCTGCCGACTGGAATATCCCAGAGGGCCTTGATCGCCAAGTGGCCGGCGCAGGACTTGGCGCGTCTTCGGCCCCGCAGACAGGCAAGGGCGTTGGGGGGGGGGGAAGGGGCAGCAGGAAGATCACGGGGAAGGCAGATGACGGTAAAGGACGGGGACTGCAACGACGAGGAGGGGATCTGATCCATCCATGCTGCCCGCACTTGGGCGAGAGCACAGCACTGAACCTGAAATTGGGCCAGCGCCGAAGCGGTAGCTCAATTTTCTGAAGGACCGAAGACGCTCCGATTGAACAGCACGTTTGACATATCCCCTTCTGGGGCGACAAGAGGGGATATCCGACCAGGCGCTTAGCGAGAGCCGGGCCCGCCGAGGAGGGGAGAGGGAGAACGAGGAGAAAGAGGAGGAGGAGCAGGAGGAGGAGGAGGAGGACTGAGAGGAGGATAGGGACGAAGAGCGGGAGGATGTCTGATGATGCACAGAGGTGAGGATGAGAAGGCAAGAGGATGAGAGGGACGACGGGGCGAAGACGACCACAAGGACCACGACTCACGACGACAACGACAACGATGAACGACGAGCCATCACGAACGACAAATGGACGACTGGCGAACCCGGAAGTCCGACATCGCGTTTCTATTTACAACGTGGCTCCCCAGAGGTCATTGACCCCTTCCTGGGAACCGGCTTATCATCCTGAGCCATTTTGTTAATGGCCCTGGGGCCCCGCAAGGGCCCCCAGAGGTCGAACAAGAATCCCCATGCCGCCCGTCGCTCTCCCTTTTTTCACGACGCGGGGACGTCGGAGGACGACGGGCTGGCCCCTCAGCGGGCGGAGCGCGCGCTGCGAATCTTCTGGGATCAGCCCCGTGGCAGGTGCGTTATGATAATGCGGCCTGTGCAGAAGATGTTCGCACTACGATGGTGATGCTGATGATGTTGATAATGATAGTGATGATGGATGGTGATGATAATGGTGATGATGATGGTGATGATGATGATGGCGGTTGTGGTGATGATGATGTTGATGGATATGGTAATGGTGATGATGTCGATGAATATGATGATGGTGGTGTGTTGGGGATGGTGATGGTGATGAAGATGATGATGTTCCTGATGTACATGTAATGACGTTGATGACGGAGATGATACGAAGATGACAATGATGATGGTAATGGTTGTAGCATTGATAGTGGTAGTACTAAGAATGCTGACACTACTACTCATGCTGATGATGCTGACGATCATGGTGATGCTGCTGATGATGCTGATGGTGGTCGTGATGAGGATGAATATGACGGCGATTATTGTGATGATGATGATTATTATGATGATGATGATGATGATGATGATGATGGCGATGATGATGGCGATGATTGTGACGGTGGGGATGGGGATGATGATGATGATGATGATGATGATGATGATGATGATGAGGAGGAGGATGATGAGGATGATGAGGATGATGATGATGATGATGATGATGATGATGATGATGCCGATGCTGATGCTGATGCTGATGCTGATGCTGATGCTGACGTGTGTGTTGTATGTGAAGTCGCCAGTGGAAATGACGCTCGTTCTGCATGCGCGGGCTGGACGCGGGCCACCAACAGAAGCACGTCGTGCCAGTCAGGGGGCGACGAGCTTCCCCCGAGCTCCGACGATGCCCAGAAAGGGGAGGAACACACACACACACACACACACACACACCTTCGCAAACAAACGTCCAGAGCCTCGTACCCCCTCCACACTGCCTCATCCCGCTCGTCGTTTCTCCCCTCCTCCTTCCTTCTCCCCGCTCCCTCCCTCCCTCCTCGCGGGGCCACGTCACACTCGGCTTCGTCCTCCGTTCTGCCACGCTCCTCCGGCCGCATCGACGACGGTTGGGGCCCAACAGAAGACCCGGCGCGAAGCAAATGCAGCGCCAGCATCTCTCAGGAGGGGAAGAAACACACAGACACAATTAATCGTCGATCCCCAGGAAAATATAGGAAAATATGGGAAGTGGTGGGGAAGACAAAAACTCTGAAAATATAAGAAAATATGGGGAATATGTTTATTTGTGTGTATTTATTTGTGTGTTTGTGGGCCTCTTCAATCTCATGGGCGGAAGCCAGGCCGGGGGGGGACGGACGCGGGCTGGCTGCGGAGCTGATGTTTCCCATCCGCGCCCCCAGAGGTCCTGCCCGAGCCTCCCCCCGGGAGGGCTGGCTTTTTCGCCCCGGACCCGGAGGCCCCGCCTGGCCCCTTCTCGAGTCGGAGGGCACCAACTATACACCAACACCGATCCTGGCCCAGGATCACCCTGGGCCCAGGATCGGTGTATATGCCTTCTTGCGCAAGGCAGGAGGGCGTATACACCGATCCTGGGCCCAGGGTGATCCTGGCCAGGATCGGTGTTGGTGTATAGTTGGTGCCTTCCTATCTAGGGGAACTTGGTTTTTCGCCCTGGGTCCATGTTGTCAGTCCTGGGGCCTGGAAGAGGGCCCCGACGGGCGAAATCTAGGAAAAACGCTGGGATGGAGATCAGGGGACGCCGGACGAACGAACGGCGGGGATCGGTGGTTCAAAGTTGGGGCCGTGAGGGAGGAGGTCCTAAGGATAGGAAGGTATCAAAAGGGTGGATTTACATGGTTTGGCGCAGCTTGTCCTACGGACCCCACTCCTCAGGACCCCATCTTTGGACCACCCAGGGGGCGCTCCGTGCTCTGGCCCGAGGGTGGCACAGAGGACCTGCGCGCGGCGCGCGCGCGCTCCCGGCGCGCGCGCACTCGCGGAGGCGTGGGGGGTTGCTTTTCTGAGTCCTTGGGGGGGCATGCTTCTCCTCCTCCTTCTCCTCCTCCTCCTCCTCCTCCCCCTCATCATCATCATCCTGATCCTCCTCGTCCTCCTCCTCCTCGTCGTCGTCGTCCTCCTCCTCCTTAGCATCATCACCATCACCATCACCATCACGATCACCATCATCGTCATCATCACCAGCATCATCATCATCATCATCATCATCATCATCATCAGTACCAGCATCGACATCGTCAACGGCAGCATCATCATCAGCATCATCATCATCATCAGCATCATCATCAGCATCAGCATCATCATCATCATAATCATCAGCATTCCCAGCTTCATCAGCATCAACTTCACCCTCATTATCCGAATGAGCATCATAAACATCATCATCATCATCATCATCATCACCACCGTCATCATCATGCTTTTTATCATCATCAGCATCCTCATCATCATCACCTGCTTCTTCACCAACATGCTCATTATCGTCTGCATCAACATCACCATCCTCACCAACACCTTCATATTCATTCCTATCACCAGCAGCAGCATCATCGACATCGTCATTCTCGTTAATGTCATCAACATCATCATCACCATCATCATATCCCGTCCTCCCCATCCTTACCAGCACCAGTATCATTTGCATCAACATCAGTAGCATCATCATCCCCATCATCATTCTTCTCAACATCATCACACTCATCATCATCGTCATCGTCATCCTTTCCAGCATCATCATCACCATCATCATCATCATCAATACCAACATCATCAGCATCAGTACACAGCATAAGCCATCATTATCCTCGTACCCATAGTCAGCATCATAATAATCTGCATCATCCTCATCCTCATGAGCATCATACTTGTTATCATCATCACCATCGTCATCATCATCATCATACTTATCAACAGATGCATCTGCTTCCCCTGCTTCCCCATCAACATGATCATTATCGTCAGCAGCATCATCATCACCATCGTCACCAACACCTTCATACTCATTCCTATCACCAGCAACCGCATCATCGACATCGTCATCCTCGTTAATGTCACCAACGTGATCATCATCACCATCATCAGTTCCCCTCCTCCTCAATCTTACCAGCACCATCATCATCAGCATCAGCATCATCACCCGCATCATCATCCGCATCATCATACTCGTCATCCTCACCATCATCACTATCATCATCATCATCATCATGATCAGCATCAGCATCATCATCATCATCATCGTCTTCATCCGCCTCGTCCTCCACACCCTCTTCCTCCCATTCCTTCAGGAAGGGGCAATAGCACTATGAGTGACGTTTAGCGCGGGTGTGTTTCTTGCCACATAGTTTTAGACTTCTCCTCCCCCACCTCCTAGTTCTCCTCCTTCTCCCCCTCCGCCTCCTCCTCGCCGTGGTCTCCCTGCCATTGATGCCATAGACAAGTATTAGTGCGTTCGGATCGCTCGCTCTTTGTCGGCCTGTTCTGCCTGGCCTCCAGGGCTCCCGCCTAGCCTAGTCGAGGTCGCCCCTGAGCGGAGCCTCCTGGCCCGAACGACGGGTCCTTGTGGGAACAGCTAGGCATGGAGCAGGGGCCTGTGCTAGTGGATGGCCGTGCCTTCAAAAGCAGCACAGCATCTAGCAGCCTCTCATGTCCTGTGGTTGATGTGGCTGTCGCTTTGCTGGGCCCAGCAGCGACCTGTGATCATTCTTGCTGGTTGCGTCGTAGCCTGTGGAGGCCCCCCCACAAGATCCCCCCAACGCAGCCGCAGGCCTTACAGCGAGGTCGCAAACTTGTTGCCTCCCCAGCACACTTCCTGTTGGGGGGGGGGTCGAGGGCGGACGCCCTCGGTCGAGCTGGATCGTGCGAGCCCGTCGTCACCTTCCACCTTCCCTGGGACCTTTTGAGAGCGCAGGCGAGCTGTCATTCGATCATGTGGAGGAGGAGGAGGGGGACGAGGAGGAAGGAGAGGAGGAGGAGGAGGGGGAGGAGAAAGAGGAGGAGGAGGAGGAGAAGGAGGAGGAGGAGGAGGAGGAGGAGGAGGAGGAGGAGTAGGAGGAGGGGGAAGAGTTGGAGGAGAATAGAGTTGAACTCCGTCGTGCTGGTACGAACGTCCCAGCATCTTCGACCGCCCCAGGAGGGGCCCTCTCAGCCCCTGCGGCGCGTAGTGAATGGCGCTGCGTGCCGAGGACGACGAAAAAGGGCCTCTTGTTAAGTGTCGGGAGGTGGCGGAGGCGGGCTCTTCGGACGAAGTGCGCGCCCACCCGACCAGGGTCTCTGTGTGTGCTGGGTGTCCCTCTGCACCCTGCACTACCCTGGTGCTGGGCTGAGCAACTTGTTGTTTGTTCCTCCTCCCTTTCCTCCTCCGCCATGGAACTGCCCTTTTCACTTCTAGTTGATTATCTTATGTGCAGTTGTCGTTATGCGTCCTGCCCTTCCCAGCCATTAGGTGTTAAACTGGTTGTGAGAGTTCTGCTTAATGGAGCAGACAGTTCAAGATCTTCCTCCTCCTCCTCCTCCTTCGTTTCCTCCCCCTCCTCCTCTATGCCGTGCCTGTCTATCGTGCTGGTCTGGTCTGTCGTAACGGTCGTGGCTTCGGGAAGAGGTCAGGGTCTTGTGGGGTGGAGGTCCAAAGTGCCCAACAACAACTCTCTGCTTCCTCCTCCGGCTAATTACGCCGCTCGGCCCTGCAGGTGGCTGAAGCCAGCAGCTCGGCGTCAGTCACCGTGATACATCGAACCCCTCATGGTACTGGCGCTCCCCCTCTCCTTCTTATCCTCATCCTCCTCCTCCTCCTCCTCCTCCTCCTCCTCCTCCTCCTCCTCCTCCCCCTCCTCCTCATTCTCGTCCTCCTCATCCGTCTCTTCCTCCTCGGTTCTCGCGGGTTTTCTGACGTTCTCGATGCTTCTTGGAGATTGTCTCGCCTCCCAGCGTCTGCCAGCATCTGCGCCTCGCCGAGGGCGTTCCCGGCGGGCGCCCATCTCGTCCAGGAGGGGCCGCCGGAGGCTCGACCTGCCGCCCGGAACGCAGAGATCCTGGCACCGAGTACAGCGAGCGGCTTGGATAAGGAACACTCACTTTTCTAAAGGGGCTCGGTCGTTCCTTCGGTTTACATGCGTTACGTATCGCTCCTTATGCGTTCTGTATTGGTTGTCGTTTCTTATGCGTTATTGTTTGGAAAACATGGGGCTTCGTTCCTGATTGGTCGTTCCTTAGGGTCAGGCCGATGACTGGAAGAAGACCGACAGGAGGCTGTGGGCAATTTCCAGCTTCATGAGGTCATCTGCCGGGCCCTGGTATGAAGCTGGAGCATTCGGGCTACCAGTGGCGGGCTGTTCATCACTCCCTGGACTTGTTTGGAGGGTCGGGGACGACGTCGGGGTGGTGTGGCGTATGCCTGTTTACCCGCTTCCTCCCGGGGAGGCATCGATACACGTGTGCACCAGGATCCCGTATGCACCAGGATCCGCCTTCCCGTGCGAATTTCGGTGCAGAGCCGGAAAACGCGTCGGTGTATCGAGTTCGGCTCCTTACCTGGGGCCGTCGACAAGACGACACTCTCGGGATGGGAAGCCAGTCCCCGGGGAGGGGTCGACGCTTTGGAGGGGAGCCACGCCGTGGAAAGAGCACGGCGTCGGATGTCTGGGCCACCAGACCACCGACGTCATAATGTTTTTTTACGGCGTCGGACCCAATTCGGGGATCATCCATTAAACTTGGAACGATACAGAGAAAATTGTTGACGCTTCGCGTATCCCCACCAGCCCATCCAGAAACGATGCTCAGGGGAGTTGAGGTGATCAGGGAAGTCGGGGAGCATGCAGAATAACAAAGGGCGGGGGAAGCTGTCACAGACCCCGAGAGGGGGAGGATGGAAGAGGAGTCGTCGTCGTCGTCGTCGTCGGAGGAGGAGGAGGAGGAGGAGGGGGAAGAGGAGGAGGAGGAGGAGGAGGAGGAGGACGGAGAAGGAGGAAGAATCGGAGGAGGAGGAGGAGGAGGGGAAGGAGCTTCTTGGGGGTCTTTTGAGGGCCTCTTGGAGGGCTTTTTGGGCGCCTTGGGGCATCTTGGGCGCCTCTTGGGACCCTCTTGAGGCGCTCTGGGGAGCCTTCGGGGCGCTTTTGGGGCCATCTTGGAGGGAGTCGATCAAACAAGAGGGGGGGTTAATTAGCGTCCCCCCTCGGAAGCCCCTAAAATCGCCTCTTGGACCCCTCTTGGAACGCTCTTGGAGTGCTCTTGGGCGCTCTTGGGGCCGTCTTGGGGCTCTTTTGGGGCTCTCTTGGGGCCCTCTTGGGCCATCTTGGAGCCATCTCCAGGCCTCGGATAGCCATCGGAAGCGAAAAGGCGAGAAAGCAAAAATCATTGATTTTCCTTAGGTTTTGGGACGATTTTGGCCTCTTCGGGGCCTCCTTGGGGAGCTGTTTGGCCACTTGGAGTTATCTTGGGGCCGTCTTTGGGCTTCTTGGAACCATCTTAGGAGCCATCGTGAGCGATCTTGCGCTATCTTGAGCCATCTTGGAGCTCATCTTGGGTTCTCTGAGGCGCTCTTGGAGCCGTCTTGGGCCATCTTGGACGCTCTAACTACCCGCGGCCCCCCCCGTCCAGGTCCAGGGGAGGGGGTAGGGGGAGGGGTAAACCCCTCCCCAAGGGGGAAGAGGGAGGGGTGGAAGAGGATCTGCTCTAGACCACCTACGCCCAGAGGGCTGGTGGGATTAGCATGGCCCCTGCGCAAGGATGACACGCACACACCGGGACGTGTTCACAATGATCTTTTCCACGGCGTCGACCCCAAGAGGTCTGGACCACTTCCCGAGGACCCGTCTTTCCTCCGGAACATTTGTGTGTGTGGGACGGTCCCGAGATCTGGTGAGCGCCCCCCAGGAGCCCAAAATGACGGACAACCTCCCGGCGTTTTTTTTTCCAGGACGAGAGGGGTCAGAGCCCCGAATCGTCAGGGTTGGGGAGCGGTCAGGGATAGCCTCGAGTCGAGCCTGTCCCCTCTACAGGGGGATTTTCGACGAAAAATACAGAATACCCCAACAAAGCCACAAAAAGGCAAACAAATAGTAAAAAAATAGTCCCCAGACTATTTTTTGATTTTTTGTAATTATTTTGGGGGTATTTTAAAATTTTGTGTCGAAAATCCCCCTGTAGGGGGACACGCCCGACTTAAGGGTAGCCGCAGATTCGCGCCTCCGGGGCCCAACCCGCTGCTGCCCGGGGCCGCTGCTATCCCCGACACCTCGGGCGCCCAACCCTCCCGACTCAGCCGGGCTGGGGGCAGTCAGGGGCAACTGCAGGCTCGTGCCCTGGGGGCCCACACCAGGAGTTGCCCTATTAGGGGGCCGCATGCGAACCCTACCCCTACCCCCCGCGATTTCTGAGGGGGAGGGTGGGGTTCACTTCGCTTGGGAGCTCCCGAACGAAGCGAACCCCACCCTCGCCCTCAGAAATCGCGGGGGGTAGGGGCAGGCTTCGCATGTGGCCCCCCACCTATGGACAGCAGCTGCCTCCCGGAGCAGCCGGGCGTCCTTGTGAAGGGGTGCCCCATGGGGCCCGGGCCCGGGCCCCGGGCCTTCGGGGAGGGGCGCGCGCGACGGAGGTCTGCGCCCACGCGGGGTCCAGCGCTGCCCCCGTCTGCTCGCGGAGGCCGCCCGTCGGGCCACCGTGCACGGGCCGCCGGGAGCCAGGCCGGGGAGGAGGAGGGCGGAGGTCCGTCCAAAGCGAGGGGTGGAGGTGCAGTGACCCTACCGTGTGGTGGGCCAGTGGGGATTCGGGGTGACCGCACGGTCTTGGGATTTGGGACCTGGATCACTCTCCGAGGAAGACTCGGGCGACGGGGGCATCCAGGGTCCCGAAGGCCGGTCGGTGACGGCCCGTTGCGAGGAGGTCTTGGGGAGTTCGAGGCCACCGCGCCGTCTGTCACCGCGCCGTCTGGGGGCCCCAACGAGTGGCCCAGGCGATGAGCTCGCCCAGTTTTCGTGGTCCCTTCTCTTCTTCGAGCACGTCCTCGGGCCCACCCTCGTCCGCGCACGTGCCTCGGGCCACGATGGACCAGTCTCGACCTGTCCCCAGTCCAGAGCGAGGACGATCCTAAGCATACCATGTGCCCTCAGAAACTCAGGGGATCCTGAAAAGCGGCATCGAGGTGGGGTGACGCCAATTACAGGGATATAGGAGCATGCTTCAGGCTGGTAAAGGATGGGCACCCCCCCCCTCCTCCTGCCCCCCCCTCTTCGGCGCACCCCGAGCAGCGCCGATCCGGGGTCACAGCGCGCCCCCGGCCGACGGCCGGCCTTTTTTTGCCCAGGCCTGGGCCCCGGGTCCGGGAGCCCCCGTTAATTCGGAGCCCTGCAGCGGGCCATGGAGCGCGGCCCGGGAGGAGCCGTCCATCCACGCGCAGAGGGGGCTGTACACCTTAGGCGATGCTTAAGAAAACCTAAGTTTTCGTCCTGAGTCTCGATTATTCTTAACTTTTCAATGTAAATCCCAAGATTTTGATAGAAGTTCTGGTTTTTTTTCACTTTCTGAGACTATGAATTTCTTAACCCATGATTTCTTAAGCATTTCGCAGGGTGTAGGGGGAGGGGGGAAGGGTTCCCAGAAGGAGGCCGCTCACTGGAGGGCCGGGGCCTTGTCTGTAGCTGCCAGGCCCGCGCCCGCTAAGAAGCAGGGGGGTGCGGGCCCCAAGGGAACACACCACCACCACCACCACGTCGATTCCTCCTCTCGCCTCTACCCTCTTCGTCCCCGCCTCTTTCCCGGGAGAGGGAGGGGGTGAGGGAGGTGGTGGCGGTGTATATGTGTGGGCCCCGAAGGGTGCTTCTAAGAAGCCTTCCCCTCTCCCCCCCAATGGGCTCTCCCTCTTTGGCCTCTCCTGTCACCGAGCGCGTTCCACTACTCGCAAAAGGTTCTAAAAGCAGGCGAGTGCCTCGACGTAATGGATCGCGAGACCCCCTCGGCGGATCCGGGCCATCTGCGAGTAGTTACTTTGTCGAGTGGTGGATCGCGCTTGTCTTTTCTGGGCCTCTCTCGAGAGGCCCCGTGGAGATTTCGTGGGCCGCCTTCGAGGTCTGCTCTTGGCCGTCCGGGGGCCGCCCTGGGCATCCCGGAGCGGCCTTTTTTGGGGACGCGGTCGGGAGTCCCAGGGCCCCCAAGTCTCCGGCGGATCTCAGAGCTTCCCGATGTCTTCTTGCCCGATTTTTTTCCCTCGTCCTGGCTTCGTCTTACATATTTGCTGGTGGGCTGGGAACTCGCTGCCTCAAACTCTGCGATGCCCCTGGGAGGGTTCCTCCGATCTCCGTCGACGGTGGCCTTCCGCCCCCCCCACCCCGCTTCCCCGGGCGCCACGGCTGGCTCTTTGAGCGGGGGCAAGCCGAGGAGCAGCGCCCCATTACCCGAATGTGTCCTCGTCCTGGCCTCGTCTTGCTATGGGGCGAGCGAGGCACGGCGCTGGATGGCCGGGGGCTGGCCCCCCCCCCCCTCCTCCGCCTCCGTGGGGAGGCGGAGGTCGGCGGTCCAGGGCCGGGGTGCTGAGGGAGGGCTTCCTATAGGATCACGACGGGATGCTTTTCGCTATCTTCGGCCTCCGGGGGCCCTCGCCGGGCCCCGGGACTGTCAAGGAGCGGCTCAGGAGGAAAGACCCGTCCCGGGGAAGGGGTCCATCTCTTCTGTGGTCGACGTACAGTGAAAAAGTCACCACGTCAGGGGTCTGGGCACGTTGCTGGAGGCACTCCGTCCTTGGGGCCCCATCCCTCAGGACCCCATCATTGACACTCCGTCCTTGGGGCCCCATCCCTCAGGACCCCATCGTTGAGCAACCGAGGGGGGGAGGCGAGGGGGCAGGCAGGGGAAGAGTCACCGAGGGAGGTCTTGGCCCCAGCTGCCTCGATGCGCCCGTTCCAGGGCGCAGCACGTGTCGTGCTCAGAATGTCCGCGTCGGTGCGCATTGCGTGTCGGCTCCGCGTATTGGCCCACGTTCTGGCGAAGGCATCGCGTCGGAATAGCGCTTTCGGTCTGCGTGTTGAGCTCCGTGTCAGTACGCTGCGTGTTGCGTGTTGCGCGTCGGGGCAGCTAAGGCCTTTAGTCTCGCACTCCCCCCCCCAGGTTTTCTCTCGGCGGGGCACAACATCGCCCCTCCTCCTCCTCCTCTTCCTGTTTTTCGACGTTGAGCGGACTTGAACCCTAAGATTGTAGCGTCTCCCTCTTCCTGCTGCTCGTCCTCCTCATCCTTCTCCTCCTCCTCCCCTCCTGCTCGTCGTCGTCCTCCTTCTCCTCCACCACCTCCGCCTCCTGCTCACCCTCGCCGAAAGATCAGCAGGGGTTCTAAAGACCTATCGCGGTTACGTAGGCGCTTTCGGATGAGGCGCCGGCGGGGTTGCGCATCTGGCTCGGCCTGACGGCGATCTCAACGGGAGGACGGAGCGGTTTGTTGCACCCCCCGTTTCGGCTTGGAAGGGGTTCCTCCTTCTCGTCCGCATCCTCCTCCTCGCAGTTCTCATTGCTTGCCTCCGCTCCCTCCCACTCGACCTCCTGTTCCTCATCATCTTCCTCGTCATCACCCATCTTTCTCCATCAGGTTTCAGCGGGCTGATCCCTCCTCCCGAGCCCCAGGCCTACGAGGCCAGCGCCTGCAGCGATGCCCGCCGCATGGTCACCCAGATCAGCGTCGACAGGTGCAGCAGGGTCGACGTTTGGCAAGGCTCGGGGGAGGGGGGGGGCGGGGGGGGGGGGGGGGCGACACGCGGCCCTGCTCATCCTGATCTTATGATGCGTCCTCCTTGCCATCCTTGTGCGCTTGATCCTGCCCCCCCCCTCCTTGCCTCTCCCTTCTCCCGGTCCTCCTCCTCTCCATGCTGAGTATCCGCCCCCCCCCCCCGCCCCACACCCGTGGCCACCCCTCCTCGCCTCCGCTCCCGCCTCCTTCTCCGCCCGTGCCCCGCACCCCTCCTCCGCCCGCTCACCCCTCCCTCCCCTCCCCCTGCAGAGGTACACGCTGTGCGCACTACTCTCCTCTCTCCCCATGGCTCTGCCCCGAAGATGTTCGGCCCTCTCCCCCCCTCCCTCCCTCCCTCCCCCCCTGCTGATCTCAGGGCCCGGGGAGGCCCCTGGTGTGCATGTTACTGTTGTGCACGTGCGTGTTGATGCTGCAGCATTTTGGCTTGCCACAGGTGTGGAAAAGAGGGAGTAGGCTCTCCCTCCTCGAAGCCCAATCTGCACTGGTAGAGCGGAGCGTGCCGCGCGATAGCAGGCGCTGTCGCACCGGGCGGCACTCAGGCGAGTGCCGGCGGGACGCTAGAAGAAGGTAATGAGCACGGACAACGGGGGCCCCGGCGGTGCGATCAGGAGGTTCGCCGGGAGTGGAGCCGACGCTTTTCGGGACTACCGATCCTGGAAGAAGTGGGCGCGGGCGTACCTCATCGTGCAGAAGGCGAAGGGGACACCCGCGACGGCCTTAGGGCCTATGCTGTTCACGCTGCTCGACGACGTCGCCGCCAGAACGCTGGAGGTTGTCGACATGGACGATCTGGAGCAAGAGGGCGGCGAGCAGGTCATCTTCGAGACTCTCGACTCACGCTTCCCCGACGTGGCAGCACACGACCGACTCGGAGAAGCGTTGAAGGAGGTGTTCACGATTCGCCTGGCCAGGGGCGAGTCGATGGCGGCCTACTGTGGTCGAGCTCAGGCGGCGTTCGCCAAGGGCGAGACAGAAGGTGTCGTGCTGCCGGACATGGCGCGTGGGTACCTGCTGCTGCTGGGAGTACACCTGGCGCCGCAGAACCTCGCGGTCGTCCTGGCGGCATCGGGCCGATCATATAAGGAAAAGGTCGGTGCGATGGCGCTCAGGACGACTTACCCCAACGGCTTGGCGGACTTCGGCCAACAGTCGAAGGCGTTCGGGGCGCACGTGGCAAAGGAAGAGGCCGACGAGAGCGATGACGCCGCGGACATCACGGCGCTGCTGGCGGGCTTCGACGTGATTGAGGATAACGAGGACGGGGACATCCTGGACGAGAGTGAGGCCATCGAGATACTGGTGTCCTGGCGCGATCAGCGCAACAAAATAACGAAGGAGCAGCTGGCTCGGGGCTTCGGTCCGAAGAAGCCGGGCACAAAGGCGATGGCGAAGCGAGTGCGATGCTACAACTGCGACAAGGTCGGCCACTTCAGCAGAGACTGCAAGAAGCCGCGACGTCAACGCCGTCCGCCGCCACGGGATCACAAGCACAAGGGCAAAGACGGCGAGAAGCGCGGCGACGTGGTCACGGTCTACGAGCGCGACTTGGATGAGGGCGTCTTCGTGGTCGACGACGGCAAGACCGAGGACGTCGTCGAGGAGGAGACCTTCGAGTGTGACGTGTGCGACGACGGGTTCCAACGGCCCTTGTACGTCGGCGGCTGCAGCGACGACGATGACGAGTGCGACTGCGAGCTGACGGTCGACGAGGAGGACAAGGATCAGGACATAGACGACCTGTGCGAGGCGTACACGGCGGCGAGGGACGACATGGATGACGTGATCGAGGCGTACCGCAGGCTGACCGCGATGCCCAAGGACGAGGTCATGCCGGAGGTGCTGACGGCGTCGGCTCACGAGCCGGGGTCGGCCGCCGTGGGAATTCCCCTAAATAGATTTTCTGAAGTGTCGACTTGGTAATCTGGGTGCGGCAAGGGAGTCATCGGCGAGAAGACCCTCAAGGAGCACAAGGTGGTGATGGAGAAAGCAGGTCTCGCGATGAAGACGATCCAGCAGACGAAAGCGACGACCTTCCGCTTCGGCGACCAGGAGACGCTGGAGTCGATCTACACCGCGGAGATACAGTGCCGAGTGGGCGGTAGACTCCTGGTGCTCCGCCTATGCGTCGTCCCAGGCGAGACCCCGCTGCTGGTTAGCAAGCCCATGCTCAAGGCCCTCGGCGCGCAGCTGGACATGGAGCGGGACGAGATTCGGTTCGCCCGGATCAACGTCACGGTGCCGCTCCGGGTCGCGGACAGCGGTCACTACCAGCTGAACCTATGCGAGATGACGAACGAGGACGGCAGGCTGATCCAGACGGCTGAGGTCGACGTGATGGTGTCGGCGGAGAAGGACGACGGGCTGACAGCGGAGGAGCAGCAGGAGCACGAGGAGTCCGTCGTGGCGGCGTCGTCGGGTTTTCGCTAGGGCCGAGCCGGAGCCCTGAGGCTGACGGCGACTGGGACGACACCGACGTCCTGTGGTCAGAAGGCGTTACCGATATCATGAGCCGACGGGCCAAGCGGACGGTGATCAGGGGTGTTCTCGAGGCGCAGGCCCGGCTGGGCCGCCGACCGAAGTGCCTGGAGATCTTCTCGGTGCCGCGGGTGACCCCCGCCCTGGAGTCCATGGGGTTCCAGAGCCTCGGTGCGTTCGACCTACAGAACGGTTGGGATGCCCGCCGAGCGGCGGACCGCCACAAGATCTTACACATGGTCGACGTCGAGGAGCCGGAGTTTGTGGGCATGAGTCCTCCATGCGGCCCCCTTTCGATTCTGCAGAACCTGACGATGGCGGAAGCGCGACGAAATCCAGAGAAGTCCCGCCAGGCAGTCAGGGAGGCGGTCGGGTACCTGAGGTTCTGTGTGGTGGTGGCTCGGATGCAGATCCGAGGAGGTCGCTACTTCACGCTCGAGGCACCGCCGACGGCGAAATCCTGGGACTGTGCTTCGGTTCTGGGCCTGTGTCGGGTGGTGGGTGTACACCGTGTGTCGGTCAGCGGGTGCCGGGTGGGTCTGAAAGATCCGGTGACAAAGAAGCTGATGTCCAAGGAGTGGTGCTTCGCGACCAACGCGGACATGCTCAAGTGGACGCTGAAGGAGCTGCGTTGTTCTCGTGATCATGAACATCAGTGGTGCTGGGACAGCTCGAAGGGCATCAAAAGAAGCGCTTTCTCGGAGAAGTGCCCCGAGGACCTCTGCAGGAAGATTGCTGGTGCAATGGCAAGTCAGCTCGAGGTGGACTGCGTCTCCCAGACGGCCGACGTTCTGACGACGTCTGATGACGATGAAGTCATCAAGCGACGGAAGCTATCGCTCGAGGCGTCCCTCAGGAGGTTGCACGCCAACCTCGGCCACCCGAGCAATGAGGACATGGTCAGGATCCTGAAGCACGCCAAGGCGAGTGAGATGGTGTTGGCCCTGGCGCGGACGTTTTCCTGCTCTATCTGCGAAGGACGGCGGCTTCCCAAGGCCGTGCGGCCAGTGAAGGTGCCGTCGAAGATGGCGCCATTGAGGCTGGTCGAGCTGGACGTGAAGGAGCTGCCAGGCTGGAAGGAAGGGATGAAGGTGAAGGCCCTGAACATCGTCTGCCCCAGCAGCGGTCTCCAGCAGATGCTACCCTTTTTCGTGCAAGAGACCGGCAGGGTGCTGAAGGAGCTCTTTGAGAACGGCTGGAGCCAGCCGCATGGACCTCCTGCACTTCTCAAGTGCGACGCTGGAAAGACCAACCTGGGCCAGGAGATCGTCGACGCGTTCGAGAGGCAGGGCGCGGAGGTCAGCGACGCGGCTGGGGAGGCTCACGAACAGGTTGGTCACGCTGAGCGCCACGGCACCTGGTTCAAGGACATTCTGAACAAGGTGTTGGACCAGACGAACCCGAAGGACGAGGCCGAATACATGACTTGTGTGCGGGCGGTGGTAATGGCGAAAAACTCCCTCCTACGTGTCCACGGCTTCTCGCCGTGCCAGATCGCCCTGGGGCGGAACCCGGAGATCCCGACGGACCTGATGCAGGAGGAGCCGAACATCGTCGCCAACAGCGCTGCCCTACATGACGAGCCGTTCGCCGAGATGGAGAGATGCCGACAAGCTGCGAGGATCGCCGTCCTGGAGTACATGGACAATCGCGCGGCCAGGGTTGCACTCGACAGCCGCCCCAGAGTCGTGCAGTCATTCAAGCCGGGCGATCGCGTGGCTATGTGGCGCCGAGGTCGGGGCATTCCCGGCAAAAAGGCTCACGCCCGCTGGCGCGGGTCGGCCGTGATCCTGGGCCCCGTGCACGGCAATTTCTGGGTCGCTATGCCAGGCGTGGCGATCAAGGCGTCGCCGGAGCAGCTCCGGCACGCCACCGAGGAGGAGAAGCTGGCCGCCGAGGTCGTCCAGCCCGAGCTTCGAGCCCTGGCGAAGGAGTTCATGGACGGCCAGGGTCCGCAGCGCGGCTTCATGGACATCACCGCGGATGAGCGACCTCGCGGCGCAGCTCCTGCTGGCGCGGCTCCGAGCTCGGCGGCGCAGGAGTCGCCGGAGGAGCAGCCTCCGGCTGCGGCGGAGACGGAGGAGCCGCAGGTGCAGCCGAACCCCGATGACCGCGAGGGGGGCGCTGAGGTGGCACCACCGGCTGAGGTACCTGCTGCTCCACCGTCCGACGAGATGGCCGCTGGCACGAAGGTGCACCGCCGCCTGGTGGGCAAGAGGGCGGTCTCTCCGGCCGAGGTGCGGCCTCCCAAGGCGCCCAAGGTCGAACCTGAGGAACCGCTGCCAATCCCTCAGGCGAAGATGCCCAGGCTGTCGGAGGACGTCTGCAGCGCGCTGCTGGCGAGCGTGGTGTCTGACACCGTGGAGGACGAGAAGGAGCTGCGCGTGCTGTACGTCAACTCCGAGGACGATGAGGAGCTGGAGGGCGCGATGTTGGCCGGCGGGAGGCGCGAGCTCAACAGGAAGGACCCAAAGTGGACCAGCCGGGAG